TGCCAGGCTTCTATTCATCTGATCGGACGCGTGTGGCCGCTACTGCCATTTGTCATTCAAGCATTTGTCATGTCGGGAGGTGATGTTGTTTTTTCATCCTACATGGCATGTGTGCATGATCATCGAGGTGGCGGTTAAGATGGTTTTGACAGACAAATGGCTGTTGCACCCGGTGGTTTCCGGGCCTCTGGTGGTGGTGTTTGTGTCAGTGACCAACGTTTGGCTGTTTTGGCCGCAACTATTGAGAAATGCGGGGATGCCAAGTACTGTAAGAGAGTTCTTTAACATAATGGAGTTTGTCAAGAACAAGTTCATGCAACATTCGTTAAAACTAAGACATAAATTCTTTTTTAATTTTATTTTCTCTTACTTTAATATTTTTTTTCTAGGAAATGGGAATTGCACCACTGGTCTCTTGTTTCATGTTGAATATATTTTTCTAATAATTATTTATTAGAAAAATATACTTTTTAAAGTGATCATTGTTATAAGGGCATTTATTCTTTTGATACACCCCATATGTTAAAAATAAAATAAAAAACTCAAATCTTTCTCAAAGACTAAACCCTAATAAAGAAAATTAAAAAAATTACTATTTTGGAATGAAATAAAATATATTTATAAACCCAATCTTTAAAACAATTTTAATTATTAATTATTGGAGTTTCGAAAGAGATTAAGTGAGACTTAAATAACACTATTATATTCACTGCATCTGGTATTGCCTTGCAAATGACCTATTCTTAATTTTAGTGGCATTACATCTTAGTGGCTTCTCTTCCCGTCAAAATCAAACCAAACCCACCTCCAAAACACAAAAATAACACAAACCCATCTCACCAGATCACCGATCCAACCCAAAAATCATATCAAGTTTCTAACTTTATTTCACTAGTAGAAAATATGGTATTTCGAGTTATTTTTCTAAAGGTATATAACTATAGTCAATGTATACATCACTATGCAATCTTAGTCCTTCATTGTTGCCATCACTTGAAATTATCCTAACCATGAGTGCTACCCTAGCTTGTATTTTTGGCTTTGAGCTTGAACCACAATTCAGCAACCCCATCTAACCACCTCACTACAAAACTTTTGGGGTCTTAGATGGAACCTTATGGTCACAAATACATCTAACCACCTCACTACAAAACTTTTGGGGTCTTAGATGGAACCTTATGGTCACAAATATTTTACGCCCTATTGTTTACAATCCAATACGATGCACATTTAGTTGTATAATCAGACAAAAGTGGACTTAATATCCCGGCGTCATTATTACATTTGCTGCCTCTAGTTTTATACATGAGGTGATTTTTTATCATATCTTACGTGTGCTTCCTATCTGAGAAGTGACATGGTTTTTTGTGCTACCAGGGGCCTGTAAGTATAACTGTTGAGATTTTCATTAAGAACTTAGCCAACTTGTGGTAGTTGCCCTCGACGGTTTCAAGGTTGTTGGTGATGGTGTTCGTGATGGTGATTGCTATTTGATTGTTGATGGTGGTGGTGGCGGTGGCAATTGTATCAGTGACCAGACATTTGGCTGTTTTGGCTGCAACTATTGAGGAATGGTGAGGAATAACCGCAACCATAAGGGAGTTCTTCAACACAATTGATTTGGTCAAGAACAAATTCAAGTGGTAATGCAACATTCATATAAACTAGAGACATGCAATTTTTTTTTAATTTTCTCTTACTTTATTATTTTTCTAGGAAATGGGAATTGCTTCCGTTGGTCTCTAGCTCATATTAAATAAACATTGCATGGATGTGATTTCGGCTTGAAATGGCCCATTCTTAATTTATTTTCAAAAGTTGTCGCAATTCAAAATGACCCATTCTTAATTTATTTTCAAAAGTTGTCCTAATCCGAAATGGCCCATTCTTAATTTATTTTCACAAGTTGTCCCAATCCCGCAAAACAAATGACAAAGTAAATCGGCCAGGACCCAGGCTAGGGTGGACACATGGAGTTTGAGTAGAACTCATTCTAAAAAACTAACTAAAAAAAAAAAAAAAAAAAGGAAAAGCCAAACCATATATATATAGTGGGAGATGTACAACTTCTAACAATAATTAATACACAACGGTTATAAGTTATTGACTCACTATTGCATTATCTCAAATTTATATAATAAATGTGACGTGTTGAAATGTGACATCTTTGTTCCACTAATCCAAACAATAATTAATCAAATATGAATGACTAGAGACCTACATAGAGAGAGCAACTACAAAGAGAAGTGCTACAAAGATATGGAAGAAGAGCTCAAGAACTTAACCAAGGTATGGATACTAGTCATTACATGTTTGAGCTATTGTTATCTAATAACATCAAGAATCCCAAAGGGTTTTCTAAGGCTCATCTCCCTCCTCCCAATCTTCTACCTCTTCATCGCTCTCCCTTTAAGCCTCTCCTATTTCCATCTCACCAGCGTCACCTCTTTCTTTCTCACTTGGCTTGCCAACTTCAAACTCCTCCTCTTTGCCTTTGGTCAAGGCCCCTTATCTCAACCCAGTAAACTCTTCCATTTCGTCTTGGTAGCTTCTCTTCCTATCCAAATAAAAACAAACCTACCTCCCAAATCCAAAAATGACAGAAACCCATCTCCCCAAATCTCCAATCCAATCCAAAAATCACATCAAGTTTCTAACTTTGTCAAACTAGTCATCAAAATTGTACTTTTAGTTATGTTACTTCTAGCCTGTGACTATGGTCAATATATACATCACTATGCAATCTTAGTCCTTCATTGTTGCCAAGTGTATCTTTCACTTGAAATTATCCTAACCATAAGTGCTACCCTAGCTTGTATTTTTGGCTTTGAGGTCGAGCCACAATTCAACAAGCCCCATCTAGCCACCTCACTACAAAACTTTTGGGGTCGTAGATGGAACCTTATGGTCATAGATATTTTACGCCTTACCATATATAATCCAGTACGATGTATATTTAGTCATATAATCAAACAAAAGTGGACTCAGTATCCAAGTGTCATTATCACATTTGTTGTCTCAGGTTTTATGCATGAGGTAATTTTTTTATCAGATCTTACGCGTGCATCCCACGTGGGAAGTGACATGGTTTTTTGTCCTACAAGGGGTAAGTGTAGCTGTTGAGATTTTCATTAAGAAGAACTTAGTCATTCGGTGGCACTTGCCCTCGATGGTTTCAAGGCCATTGGTGGTGGTGTTCGTGGTGGTGACTGCTATTTGGTTGTTTTTTCCTCCTATGGTAAGAAACAATTATTTTGATAAATGTTTTGAAGAGTACTTAATTATTGTAAATTATATAAAAAGAGTGTTAAGAATGTAATAATTTAGTTAGAATATATAAGGTTTACTTTAAAGTGCTTGTTACCTAAGAAGATAAAAATGATTGTACACATAAGAGTAATTGATACTTAATACATGCACTTTCTTTCCTTTCTTTTATTATGTAGTCAATCTTTTATGTTCTTAATGTTTAATTTTAATAGGTAAACTACATTATTACCTCTATTTACAAGAAATTTCACTTCATTGATTTCATAAACTAACAACGTTACTTCTATCTCTATTAACTTTATTTAACATTTCACTTTCAAAATTGAGAGTGAGATTTTTAGTTTCCAAAATCAAAAGGGTGAGATTGTCTTGGATTTTAGGTTTAAGGTTTACGCATACAATAATACTATACTCACAAACCATTCTCATTAGCTTTCTTTCACAAACGAGATGTGTCAGCTTGTAATTGGTCAGCTCGCAATGGGTCATGTTTGCCCAAATATGAACTGACCAATTATAAGCTGTCACATTAGCATTTATGAGAGAATGTTTGTGAGAAGTGTTTGTCCGTCCGTCTATCTTTATTCTTAAGCATAATAGATAATACCATTTCAAACTATCAAAGTTGGATATTAATATAATATTTGTGGGCTAAACATTAATTCTGGTACATCAATTTGGTTGGACTATAAAAATAAGTCCACTAGTGCAACCAAATTTATTATGACCAAGTTGGATAGGCAATTTTCAAATGGTGATTGATAAGGAAGATTAAAATTCCCTTGAATAGAGCGATGCATGTTTATTTTGTAAGAATGAAGGTTGAATTTTCAAGTAATAGACCAAGAAATGTAACAAAATATTTGAGAAGAGAAGGTAAAAACATATAAAATAATAGCAGTTTGAGGGTGTCGTGCGAGAGGCAGAATTGATATTGTTTTCAGCATATAATTGATGTTTTCTATAGCAGGGACAAAATTGTAATTTTGGGATTTCATATTCAGTTCAAAACCGGGTACTCTCTTGAACCAAACCAAAAATTCGATACAATTCAAAACCGGATCAGCCATCAAAACCGGTTTGGATTTGGTTCGGCACTTCGGCTTATAGCCTAAATTGAATTTCTAGTTTAGTTAAAAAAAAAAAAAAAAAAACTAAAGCAGTTGGGGTATCCGGTTTTGAACACTCCTAGTATTATGTTTATTAATTAATATTTATTTTGCTAAAATTTAGATTCGCATAATCTAGTTGAATTAATGAGATTCAATTATCAGATTCGCACATAAATTATCTATTAAATTTAATAGATATGTTGAGATTTTCTTATGAATAAATAAAAATAATACTAAAACTACAAGTTCTTGTATACAATTGACGTAACACAAAATGAATGAATGATTGTATGTAAAAGGTCGATTAAATAACTATTTAATAAACACGAATAAATGCTAAATAATAAAAAAATAATGCCACGTAAAATTGTATATGTAACAATAGTTGCAAATTACTAGCAAATATACAAATCGCTAAAACTTATTTGTACAAATTAATTTACACACGGGAGTGTATGAAGATTCTCTTGTTTATTCCAAATCAGGCTTTTGGGCTTTCAGGTGGACGGGTATGGGCCTTTGGGCCCAAAACCATCTCAGAAAGTTAGGCCCAGGCCCATTATTTTTGTCCCCAAATTAATCCATTAGGGCTCGAAGTTCTGGCTTTTATCATCTGCAACACCACAAAGGACAGAGAGCGAGCGAAAGCGAGAGAGAGAGAGATTATAGGAGACGATTTGATCTACTCAATCACCAGCTCGATCTGTTCTTTGAAAGGTTCAATTTTTATTTCGTTTTTGCCTTATAATTTCTTATTAACAATCACCAACTTTTTTTTTCCCGGTTTAAAACTGTAACATTCAGCTTAAGTTTTGCATTATTTTTCAGTTGTTGCAGTTTTTGCTCATCTGGGTTTCTCCCCAAAATTGTTTTTTTTTTCTTTTCTATGCAATAAACTATTACTCTTAGCTTCAGCTTCTGGGTATGCTTATTTTTGTTATTAGTTCTCCAATAATTTTTTTTTTCCGGTTCTGTTTGTATTGTATTTGTTATTTTCAGCTAGTAGTTGCAGAAACACAGAGAAAAATGATTGGCCCATAAGCTTTTTTCTTAATGCTATCCCTAATACGTCCAGCTTAGTGTAATTTTAATTGGATAAATTGAACCAAATCTAAACCTCTTGATCATCTTTTCTTTTTTTGATGAGAGAGTTGCCTTGTTGCATTTGGGTTTTGCTGAGTAGAGTTTTGTTTACTGGTTTTTGGTTATGGTATTAGTTATCGAGTTATTGGTTGAATATAATAGCATTATGGTTTTTGCTCAATGTATTTTGAATTTTGATGGAATTTCATAGGAGTTGTTTGTAGCAGTATAAAATGTCTAAAGTGCTCTGCATGGGTTTTGGTTGTAATATTGGTATTTTATTTTTATCAGAGTTGTGACATACATGCCAACAAATCGTCTCGTGGGATAATGGCTATTGAAGCTTCTACCAAACCAAACATAGTCAATGATTTTGATGACGATGATTATGATGGTCCAGTAGTTTTCAAAAGGAGTAACACAGCCGCTAAGCAAAACCAAGTGAATCCTGAAGGGAAAAGACCATCATCATCCACAGCCAATGGTCAAAATGCCAATGCTCAGAAAGGTAAGACAACAGTTCCATCTTCCAAGGCATCTCCTATGAGATCTCCTCCACCGAGTCTAAAAGCATCATCTTCATCTGCCAAGGGGTCACCAGTGAAGTCACCTGTGCCTAATTCAAAGACACCCAGTCCATTAGATGATCGCTTAAAACAATCACCACGGCCAAATGCATCAACTTCGGTCAAGAAGGAAGATGATTCAGTTAGTAATGGCCTGAAAAATGATGATGAGGATTCTGAAGACGACAAACCCTTGAGTACTAGACTTAAGGAAAATAACAATAATGCCAATAGAGGGCTTAATGCTCCTAAAGCAGATGGATCACCAATGTCTAAGGTTAACATTAAAAGTGCTCCTGATGATTCTGATGATGAAGTTCCATTATCGTCAAGGTTCCCAAAGTCCTCTGCTGGAACATCGGGTGGAAAGCCTATTTTTCGTGATGAAAAGAAACCACTGACTTCAAAACTTCAGCAAAATGGTTCGACCACATTGGACAAGCAGCAAAAGTCTTCCTTGGGGTCGATTAAGAGACCCTTAGATAAGGTGGGGTCATCAGCTACATCATCAGCTAAAAAGCCAAAGGTTTCGAATACTTCTACAGAAATGAAAGTTAAACAGGTAACAGTAAAAGCAGATGATGACGACCATATTCCAATAGCCCAGAGAATGAAGAAATCAATAACATCAGATAAAAAAGCACCTCCTACAAAGACGACAAAAGTAACGAAAGCTGTTTCTTCTTCGTCAAAGAAAATTAATAAGAAGTCCAAGAAAGTAATAAAAAATTCAAAATATTCAAAATCAACCAAAATGCTTCCTAGCTCTGGTGATGGGCAGAAAAAATGGACTACTCTGGTTCATAATGGTGTCATTTTTCCACCTCCATACACGCCTCATGGGGTTAAGATGCTCTACAAGGGGAAACCTGTTGATTTGACTCGTGAACAAGAGGAGGTTTTCTCATTTTCTCAAAGACTGTCATTTGGATGCTTGAATTTTATATTCATTCCTGCATTCCTGCCCACAATTGCATATGCGAGATGATATCAACATCATACTTGCTTCAAGTTAATTGTTTTACATATGATCTCTTAAATCTGCAGGTTGCAACAATGTATGCAGTGATGCTAGAAACAGATTACATGCAGAAACCAAAATTCAAAGAGAACTTTTGGACTGATTGGCGTAAATTGTTGGGGAAAAACCATGTAATTCAGAATTTGACGGATTGTGATTTTAAGCCAATATATGATTGGCATCAGGAGCAGAAGGAGAAAAAGAAACAGATGAGTTCTGAAGTAAGTTTGTTGCACTCAAAAAATTTCTTGGGTTTGACATGCCGAATGATAAAATGTTGAGTTAATATTAGGCTCCTTGCCTCTGTAAACGTTTCCTTTTTTCCATCATTTATAATTTCTTGCCTTCCTGTCATTGGCCATTCTGCATCTTATTGACTAGTTTATTCACAAGGCACTTACCAATGACCTGGACCCACCAATACAACAATTAATTTTTCATTTTATTAGAACATTTTTGTGTTTATTTTCCTGTGCAAAGTTTAGGAGTAAATAGTTGTTTACTTTGGTATGTTTATTGGTTCATGAGGAAATTATGCCTTCTGTCTGAAATCAGGCATTTACAATGGAGTTTTCAGGGTTCAAATTGCTTCAGTGGAAGACTCTTCCCTTAAAATATGACATCTTTGCATATTACTAAGCTCTTAAAGACTGTAAAACAGTTACTGGTGCATATGAATCCTTATAAAATACTTCATTGCTTTAACTAGAGATTCGCAAAATTGTTTATCTAAGCTTTTGACGCATTTTAGATGGGTTATTTTTGTAGTCGTGGATAACTAATGCACTAAGGTTTTTTTTTTCCTCAATCAAACACTATAATTTTGGATTCTATCTCTTGTTTCTTGGTTACCTGCTTTTGAACTCTGAAGACCATCTATCTTGCTCCTTACTTGAATGGAATCTAATTCCTTTTCCTCTGTTGATCTACCTGGTTTGAAATGCAATGGTAATTACAAATGTTTTAAGATTCGGTTACATTTCAGGTTTCACATTATGACTGCTGTTAGTACTTCTATATTGAAACAAAGATTTGTACTTTAATTATTCCAGACAGAATTTAGATAATCTTTCTGCTTGATAATAACTAATGTAAAAGTTTCTGTTCCTGTAGGAGAAGAAGGCCTTGAAAGAGGAGAAAATGAAACAAGAGGAAAAGTATATGTGGGCTATCGTTGATGGTGTCAAAGAGAAGGTTACCTTTTATCTTACTATTTTTATCTTTTTCTCTGAAGTCTCAGTTACTGCCCTTAGATTTGATTTATCTATGGACTCTTTGTTGTTTTAGCCATTTTCACTGCTAGTTTGTGTAATTGATTTACCCAAGTAGTAGTAAATGATGAATCCTATTCAGAATACAGCCTTCTGACATTCTTATGTGTTTGATTGATTTTTTTTTTTTTTTTCCTTGAGGTAGACTGAAGCCCATTAGACTCCTTTTTCTGTGATTAGCAAAATTATCCTCAGGTTAACAGGTGATGCCATTCTGACATGGCAACCAATGTGTGGAGTCTGTCTTTGCAGACTCCTTCCCCCTATATCTTTCAACATTCACCGGTTTTTTTCCATGATGCCTTTCTTTTTAAGGAGGCTTCCTGCTTTTAAGGTTGTCTTTTTTACCTATACTTTTTAAATATGATTACTCCAAGGATGTAGATGAAATGGTTCTTTGGCTATCTTCTCTAGTTCATATGATCTTTTTTTCTGTCACTTTATATCATGGTCTATTCTCTCGGCTATGTGTTTTGATTGCTTCTTACTACAGCTAATAGTTATTTGATGTATGTGTTGTTGCCTGAAGTGTATGAATATTTGTTTGAGTAGTTAATTTTTGTTATTTCTAGAGAATGGGTGCTGATTGGTAATGTATCTCAGGTTGGGAATTTCAGAGTTGAACCACCTGGACTATTTCGAGGCAGGGGAGAGCATCCAAAGGTTCTACTGGCATCTTTTGATAAAAAATTGAGAATTAGGAGCTGTTTACTGAAATATAATTGGTGTTATATCATTGTTATTGTTTAAATTTGCACTAGTTCTTACTGCTTATGTAGAAAAGTGATTTTTTTGTCTTTGGTTGGTTTTTGTTCTTAATAGATGGGGAAGCTGAAAAAACGCATCCGTCCAAGTGACATTACCATAAATATTGGGAAGGACGCCCCGATTCCCGAATGTCCTATCCCCGGTGAAAGGTTTATTTCTCAATATTTTTCAGGGGGGAAGGGAAGGGAGAGGCGTTTTATATGTCAGATATTTAGGAGGTTTAGGAACTCTTATTCTTTAGGTTTTTTTAACTCCTGAGGTATTTTACCTTGGCAGGTGGAAGGAAGTAAAGCATGATAACACTGTCACATGGTTAGCTTTCTGGAATGATCCAATTAATCCAAAGGAATTCAAGTACGTGTTCCTGGCAGCTAGCAGTGCCTTGAAGGGGCAAAGTGACAAAGAGAAATATGAGAAAGCAAGAAAGCTGAAGGTAGTCACCTGCATGCTTCTATTAATTTGGCTCTCTTTCTGCTGTTCTTGGATAGCCAAGTTGTCTCTCTGTGCTTTTTTTTTTTTTTTTTTTTTTTTTTTTTTCAATATTTAACCAGTTTTCTGAGCTAACTCTTTGCTTAAGTGCAGGATTACATAGAGAGCATTAGAGCAGCATACACAAAGGGTTTTACTAGCAAAGATGTTACAAGGAGGCAAATAGCAGTTGCAACCTATCTTATTGATAAACTAGCTCTTAGGGCGGGTAATGAGAAGGTATTCTATATATTTGTATCATATATAAATATATATATCTGTTGATAGTTTTGACTATGGTAGCTCTTCCATTAGATTGATTTGTGTGGTGTAGAGGTTTTGGTTTTATTCCTGGGTATAAAGATGTTATGAGCAGCACCAAGTTTTATGATGAGTATCATTCGTTATTCCTTCTGTGCCTTTTTACATTGCAACCAGCTTTTCCAAATTGAGTTCTACTTATGTATTGGGTTCTGTTTCAGCTAGATAAAAGTTGAACTATTTTAACCTTGTTTTGTTTCTGTGCTTTTGGATTGCTTTCAGTTATATTCAATTCTTTTTGTCATTGTTAATTTGGGATCGAATGTGTATTTATCTACTGTCTGAAGCATTGGATACCTTGTGCTTTTCTGATTTTTGGCTTTTTATTTCTTGTTTCTTTGTGCGTTCTTGGAACATGTGCCACAGTTCTATATGTGGTGCTTGCATGTCTCTTCTGCATTTTTGCTGCCCAAATTCTGATAGCTGATAGTCAGACAGCTTTCTCATTTGTACTGTTTATAAGAAGGTTATCAAGGTTCTCTTTCTTTTTTGGTTGACTTCTGCAGGATGATGATGAAGCTGATACTGTTGGTTGCTGTACTTTGAAAGTGGGGAATGTAGAGTGTATCCCTCCAAATAAGTTAAAGGTATGGTTGCCCATGTCTCACAAGATTCAACATTAGTGCATTTTACTTTATAAATACCAGATTGGGAAAGTTATGAGCTGAATGATTGAGAGCAATTGGTACCTGTTCTAGGCTTCTAGCTAGAAGTGTTAATATGTGTATTCCTGTTTGATCAATCAGTTTGACTTCCTTGGTAAGGATTCAATTCAATATGTAAACACAGTTGAAGTTGAGCTTCCTGTGTACAAGGCAATTGGGCAGTTTCAAACTGGTGAGTAAATGGCCAATCACTTTGGGTTACGCATTTATTTTATTATTGGGGCTTATGTGTGTGTTTTCTTTTTTCCAGGAAAGAAGCAAAATGATGATCTTTTCGACGAGCTGGATACAGCTAAACTGAATGCTCATCTGAAGGAACTCATGCCTGGCCTGACAGCAAAAGTTTTCCGTACATATAATGCCTCGATCACATTGGATGATATGGTAAGTTTTCAGCTGGAGACTGGAATTTATTTGTGACTTCATTTACTAGATATCAATGGTTTACCTAGTTAATGTGTGGGAAAGAACTTATTGCAAAACATGATTACTGTGGGCATATAATTGTGTTTATGAAATTTTCAAATATTTTGTGGATAAGTAATAGCATTATAAGCTATTGAAGTTAGGCCTCATGTTTTGCTTGGCCCTTAACTACGTCATTGAAAATTTTGTTTGATCATTTATGATTTGACACATAAGAGATGTTTAGTATTTCCATCTAGCTTGATCTTTATAGGATTTTCTTGTCTATTTCCTGCTATGATATATTCCTTCTGAATATTGTTTTGCCTTTTACAGTTGAGTAGGAACTAAAGAAGGTGATGTTGCGGAAAAGATTGTTGTTTATAACACTGCAAACAAAGAGGTAAAGATGGGTACTAAAAAAGATTACTTGGCAATGGTGATGATGCCTATCATGAGTAACCATAATGCATCATAATATGGCCTTTTCCTTGCTGTAGTTGCAATTATTTGTAATCATCAGCGGACTGTTTCCAAAACACATGGTGCACAGATGACAAGGCTGACCGACAAAATAGAAGAGCTCAAGGTAATGACCATTCTGGATCAATGGGAAATTTAGAGCTCTCACGGTTGAGAAATATCATTGGTGGAAAATATCTTTTTTGGTTACCTGTTAATAAATTTTCTGATGTAAAATGGGATTTGTTGTATTCTTGGTGTTGGGTTGGTGCTTGATGCTGCCAAGTCAAGCCCCTTCTGAACTGCTTTTGAACTCATTGGTTCCTCTCAGAACATGCAGTGGTGGAACTGACTGAATTTTGCTTGTAGGTGTTCTGAAGGACCTAAAATTGATTTGGACAGGGCTAGAAAAGGGAAGCCCCAATTGAAGTTCTGATGGAAAGCAAAAGAGGAACCTGACCCCTGAAGCGTAAAATACCTGGCAACATATTTTTGGGCTCTTATCATTTTCTTATGATGTAAATTATTGTTATTATTTAATGAACAGGTAGAGAGGAAGATAGCTCAAACCAATGTGAAGATTGAAAAAATGGAGCGAGATATGAAGTCCAAAGAGATTTAAAACTGTGGCGTTGGCACTCCAAGATCAATTACCTCGACCCTAGGATCACAGTTGCATGGTGCAGCGACATGAAGTTCCTATTGAGAAGGTAAACTACTTCCACAATTGAATTCAGGATAAGTAATTTTGCCAACACTATTGCCTTTCTTCTAGCGGGACTGAATTCTGAAATTGCATCTGATTTTAACCATGGTGATGTATTACTGCATTTTGCCCTCGAATCACTTTGTCATCTATCATCTGTCAACTTTTTGCAGATATTCAACAAGTCTCTACTAGCAAGTTTGCTTGGTCAATGGACGTCGAGCCAGATTTCAGATTCTGATATTTCAACCGATGCTTGCCTCTACACCCCTCTTGACCAACCAAAGAACCAAAAAAAGGAAAAAGGACCCCCCAAAAAAAAAAAAAACGCAGCTCCTCACCACCACCTTCCTTTCCCATTACAGTAATTCAATTTTTTTCTCTGTTCAACCGGAAAATTCATGTTGTTTTCATCTAATCTAATTACGAGTTAAAGTTCTTCCTTCATAGTTTTTCCTTTTAGACTATTACTAACTGTTATAGACTTTCTAACACCTGCTACTAACAGTAAATGTGAAAAGTACATTTTAAATTGCATAAAAACAAAGCTCCAGTGTTTGCCTGTTTTCTTCAATGTCAGAGATTTTTCTACTTTCTTTGTAAAGTATTTCTTACTAGTCGTTTGTCTTGACTTTTACTTATAGGCATGGGGTCAGGACTGTTATACTGATACTTACAGATTCAATTGATAGTAAATTACAGAGAGAGCAAATCTTATGGCACATTATCATTTATAAAATGTAGAAGTACAAAGATGAAATTATTCAATGAGTGAAGCCTGCATGTTCCCCCCCTATGACATTAATGACATCAAATTTATTCACACCCAAATTTGGCTTACGGACACCTTATTTTTGACACACTAATTCTAATGCACCATTTTATAAAGAACCCAGCAGGGGAAACTAGGGTTTGTCTAGTCATCTCCATCTCCATCTTCTCTTCACTTGTCGCATCATCATATCATCTTGTCATGGTTATGGTCATGGTCGTTCACCCTCATGGCCGGAATTGTCTTGGTCATTGCCGCCATTTCCATTGTTCTGGTTACTGCTGTTTCCGCAACTGGAGTCAGTTCCATTGTAGCCAACACTACAGTTGGACTCTTTCACATTGGTTTGTCCAGTACTCTTCTCTGCAAAAGAGATCAAATATCAAAGAAAGCATCAGTCTAGTAACTGATCATGATGGAAGCTAAATAATTAAAAGAGTTAAGAAGCTGGACTGCAGGAGGCTTACAGGATGGGGCTGTTTCAACAAGCTGACGAGCAGAGATCTCAGAAGAGATCAGAAGAACCACCGCAAATGAAAGAACAACAAGAAGCAGAGTCTTGGAGGAAGCCATTAGTGTAAACTGTGAAGAACTTAAAGTTAAACTTGTTAGCTCAAAGTCTTTGGATGAATAAATGCAATGTGAAGCCCTCTATTTATACAACTTTCATAAGAACAGAAAAAGAGAGAGATTCAAGAGAAGGGTCCACCATTTTTGCTCGATTCTGATGAAATTTTATTTGTACAGAAAGCAATTAAACGAAGTGAAGAGGTGACTGATCATGCATGCATACGTAAGTTACTTGTGGATTGGATGATAGTAAACTTTGGTGATAATTTTTTGTCTTTAAGAAATTGATTTAATAATTGACTAAGAGAATCATCATCATACTGATTAATAACTTACAGGAATTGAAGGTTTTAGGCTCAAGCATTTACCTGAATGTTTGTTTCATTGTCAAATTTAGGAAAATATTATTCGAAAATTTAAACTCACTCTTGGAAATCTATAATTTACTCCATTACTAGGGTTGTTTATTCCCAAATCCCAATCCCTTAAGAGATAGTGAAAATATTAAATGCATTCACAATTTTTTAAAAACTATTCTATACCCCTTTATATTATCATTAACCCGCTTGAATTATATTTTCGTCTAAAAAGTATCAAAAAAAAAATAAAATAAAAAATGAGAGCGTATATAATATTTTTCAAAAATCATGGGTGCATAATACCTTTCTATCTCCCAAGGGCTGGATCAGCAATGTTTAAATATTATATTGTATATATAAAAAAAATCGAAATCAACACACAACCTGGTGTCGTGGTGTAGTTGGTTATCACGTCAGTCTAACACACTGAAGGTCTCCGGTTCGAGTCCGGGCGACGCCAATTCTTTTCCATTTTTTTTTCACCTTTTTTATGTTATATAATTGGGCAATACTACACTTACCGATCAAGCTATCGATTTTCACATACCGATCCACCTGTCCAATTACCCAAATCTCAAAATTTAACTCAATTCATATTAGTCAGTATGTCAAATCGGTAGTTTAATCGATAACTCAAGCATTATTGTATATAATTCGAGGAATCTCCATTATATTTATTTTTTAATTCATATGATGTACATATGTTAATTGCAGTATATATTAAACATATATATGTATATCTAACTCATCATGATATTCCCTGTCGTGCTCATCCTGCCCCTTTCCGTCCCCGTGGGTGCTGCACCCGCAATCCTTTCCATTATCGTTGCCAACACCATTGTTGGATGACTCTTCCACGTCGATTCCTGAACTATTCTCTATGCCAAAAAAAATAAAAAAAATAAAAAAAATAAAACAAAAGCTATTATATATATGTATATCACAAGCAATAAATAAGAGGATGTTAATTAGCTAGAAAATTAACTTACGGGTTTGGTTTGTCTCATGAAGCTCACGAGCAGATATCTCAGAGGAGATGAGAAGAACAATAGCAAAAGCAAGGCCAAGAAGAAGCAAAGTCTTGGAGAAAGCCATGGTTGCGATATTAATTATATGATGACCTTCTCAGGCATGTAAGACAGTTTGGCCGAGTGGTCTAAGGCGCCAGATTTAGGCTCTGGTCCGAAAGGGCGTGGGTTCAAATCCCACAGCTGTCAACTTTTTTAAAATTAATTGCTTTACTTAATTTTTATAATTCACTCCCTTATCTATGACAAAAAACATTTTTCCTCTTTCAATTTGAGAAACTAACAATATTACCCCTACTTTTTGTTAACTTTTTCGTTTAACACTTTAACTTCGAAGATTGGGAGTGTTATTATTCAGTTTCAAAAGTAAGAAGGTGAGTTTGTTTTTGCCTTTGATTTTGAGAACTAACAATATCATCTCCAATTTTCAAATTAATTTGAACGTTAAATTTAACAAAAGACGTCTTAAACTAGCTAGTGTGAGATTTATCTTTTAAGCCATATATAATTGGTTAATCATCCAGAGTTATAAGCTGATTTAGGCCACAGGTTTTTGCCTTGATTCAATACAATAAAACATCTTCGATATCTTGGCACAGTAATTGTAGATAGCACAAATTTTCATTATATAAAAGAAGTTTCAAAGAAACATACTTATAAGATGGAGTAATACAAATACAAATATTAAGCGAGCGAAACTCAACAAATACAACTGTCCATGCTCTCTTAATATGAAACATTCAACCCCAGATCCCCGAGCACACTTATTAATTGACACACACTTTAAAAACCTACACAATCTTATTTCAGCTTGTAAGAAACTAAATTTTCTCTAGTTCCCTCCACCTTCAGTTTTATCAGCAGGGTGTCCTCCATGACCACCATGCCCGCCATGGCCTCCATGGCCGCCATGTCCGCCATGTCCGTGTCCGCCATGTCCGCCATGACCGTCCCCGAACCCATGGTCCATCTTGTTGGTTCCATCTGCAAAAGAGATCATATGTATATTAGCAATTTTATATGCAAGGATATTCTCGTGCAATACAGTAACTTTAACTTAATTTACAAATATTATCAATATGTGAACGTCGATATTTATGTTAACTATCTCAGGAGAGACAGAGTGAATAAGTTAACTACGTGAAAACATTCTTGAGATCGATTGAAATATACACTTGGCCGAATCAAGAGGGTGAGAAATTAACTTACAGGCTTGGGTGCTCTCACGAGCAGAGACGACCTCAGAGGAGACGAGGAGAACAGCGAAAGCGAGGGCAAGAAGAAGGAAGGTCTTCGAGAAAGCCATTCTTAATAATGTAATATATTTTCTAAAGCTGCAACTGCGATGTAAAACCTCAAAAGAAAGCTGGCTAATTTGCTCAAGTAAGTGCAATAAATGGACTCTATTTATAGAAGGCTCTTTGTAAGAGAAGGGTCCACTGGTTTTGTTTGATTGTGATAAAATATTAAAACCCTAGTGCAAGAGTCAAAGTTTTATCAAGTAAGAGGGACCCCCTATATCTTTTAATTTCTTTATTTATTTAATTGCTTGTGAATTGGGTTATTGTAATGAACATTTATGATATAATAAATACTTGTCTAGGACGTGGAAAATCGATTTTAATTGATAACTTTAACACCACCAATTCATTAGGAAATCTTGTTATATCGAGTGTTTATGCTCAAGAATATCCTGGTTTCGTTTAATTTTCAAGCTTTTCCATAAATTTTACAATTCATCTACATTGTATATACATACAGTGGAAAGATCAATAACATTTATACTTAAACAAGGTTTGGTCATGGGCTCATACACTAGAGGTTCGGGTCCTCTTTGAGGTGTACTATCTTTTTTTATTTTTATTTTTAACCTAGTAATTGCCTCCTCGCAACTCGAAAACAAGATTTTTTCGTGTATAACTAACCCTAGAGATTACAAGGCTTGCTATTCGGCCACAAAAGGGAGAGGTGAGGCTTAATATTGAGAGTAAGGAGGAAATTTTTTTTCTTTACTTTTGCAAACACATCTACACTCATTATAGTAAAGTTTTTCTTTCTAATAAGTAGCTTCTTGTGTTAAAGGTTTAGTTTTTATCCATACAAAGAAGTATGCCCTGATTGATTGATAAATTAACTTGAATGGAAAGGAAATCGCCCCATTACTTGGTACTAGGTTATAGACCTAGTCCAATTTAGTTTTTCTCTAAGCTTTGTTATGTTAAGAGTTTTATTTTTATTCATACAAAGAAGTAATGCTCCTTATTGATTTGATAAATTAACTTCAAATTTGGAAAGGAAGTCGCCCTGTTACTTTTTAGGTTAATATACCCAGTCCATTTGTTTTTCTCTAAGTTTCTTGTGTTAAAAGTTTATATATAGAGAGAGGACAGCAATGCTCCTACTTGAACAAAAATTATGGAAACCTAATCACCCCATTACTTGTTCCTAGGCTACTGACTTAGTCAATTTGTCGTATAATTACAATATTCAAAGAAAACCACATCGAAGTTGGTGAGATTTATATTAAAAAACTACGGTAGGCATGAAGATTAAAAATTATACAACCAAATTTTGTCACCAAAGCAACCACTCTTTAATAAAGTTGAAATTATTAATCTCCTTTCGATATATATATCGATTATTAATCCATGTTTATCTTGCATGTTCATGTAATCAAAAGGTAATTAAAAGGATTGCCGCAAAGGAGTTTGGATAGAGAGAGTTAGTAATTTAATAAACATGCTTTTTTTCTAAATCATATGTTGAAAAAATTGGTCGAAACCACCCACTTATGGCTGGATGGATAGAGAAACATATGGTTGAAAGCTGTCACCCGGCCTAAGTTGAGTTGTACCAAGGGGTAGCCATTACCTTATCTAAAACATAAAAAAAAATGGTCGAAAGTTACTTATATGTATGTAAAAAAGTCAATTAGAAAATGTATTAATAGATTCTCATCTAAACAAATATATTTAAACTTGCTTGCCTCACTGGTGACTTCACTGGGAGCCCATCTTGACCTTAAATCTACTTTCCCGCGGGGTTTGTTTGCATTGCATGGTTAGGTCCAGGTTTATTGATTAAACTAGCTAGACTGATTGTTTTTGTAACTTAACAATAATATTGATATATATATAGATTAAAAAACGAATCTACTTCAACCTATAAACCCTTAGGTACGGCTATACATAAATAAAATCACACTAAGAAAGGGTGAAAAGTGAACTTGAGTAGCGAAACCAATTGTCAAAAAGGGGAACTTGGCCACATTGAATTACTATTCAACAGTGGTAGGATAAGTGAGAAGTATATTTGGGGTGGACCAGAAAAGTTTGAATACGGCACTTCGGAATGTTAGCTAGGTAAACGTTTGTAGAAAGAGGAGAAGTTAAGTAAATCTCATATTTTTACGTATTTCACAATAAATGAGAGTTTGCATCAAATTTGATATACTTTTTGAATCGCATAAAATCTAAAAATAGACGATGGTAATAATATAATCAAAATGTAAAGACACATTAATGTACACTACTCATTTTGGTGGATGTATATAATTAACTCATGTGTACACATTCTCAATACTATATAAAATAGCTTTTAAGACACATATAATTTAACGGTTTAATTCTGATATGTCAAAAACAATAGCCTCAACTAGCCATAATGTTTGTCAGATTTTGAAAGCCACTAAAACCTGCTTGCCAAATGGTTGGAATTTGGAAGCCCATCGAATGAAATGAGACAGCAACGAGAATAAAATAACAATATAACAAATAACAGACAGTAAACAAAGAAAAAGTAATATGTGTAATTTATTCCTAATTCATCAATATAGGTTACATCAAGCTGAATCAATATTATTGTAATACTTCATCTCCTTTCGTTTTATATGAATAATTGTCTTATGATTATTATCACACTCTAACAAAATAATATATATAATTATATATATAATAATTAATAAATATAGATATATATTATATATATATATATATTATATATGTTTAAGTGATAAAACCTAGTTTATAAGGATTTTATTTTAAGCCTAAACTCAATAAGAAATTAATGACTAAAGAAATCCTACAACAAAAAACCGAATATATTTGCGTAACCCTTATTGAAGTAGTAGACAACTCAACCCCCACATCCTTGTGTTAGCAAGCATTAGAGTCCAAGAGTGAGAGATTATGACTAAAAGGAACTTTTATTTTTTATTGGGGAAAGTAAGTTTATATTAAAAAAAAAAAGGAAAACGACTTAGCATACCCAAGGTTGTCGAAACGATAGATTGGTATCCAAAAGGTTTGAAACGACAAATGGTACTTTCCGTCATGTTCTGTTAGTGATTTTCGTTTAATAATAGTGAAAGACTAAAATGTTTCAAAGTTAATATTTTGTTTTTTATAAATTTAAAATTTTTTAAAAACCCCTAGTTTGCTAATTTGACTAAAACCCCATATATAAAATTTATAAATAACAAAAACACCCCCGCCACCCGTAGTGCCAGATTCCAGCCACCACCGCCCGAATTTAGGACGAAAAATGCATTACGACACAGACCCATCAGATATGTGTCGTAATGGTAGATCGGCATTTTCCGACAAGATCCGTGGCGATCTGGCCGAAAAAGGCCAAATCTGGCCGTCGAGCGGAATCTGCTGGAAAATTGGTTACGACACAGACCCATCGGATTGTGTCGTAACCTGGCGATCTGGTATTTTCCGGCCAGATCTAGCCGTCGAAGCCGAAAAAGACCAGACATAGATTGGCTTTTCGGCCAGATCGACGCGTTACGACACAGACTGACGGGTCTGTGTGTAACCCAATTTTTCAGCCAAATTCCGGAGGTGGTGGCCAGAATCTGGCACAGTAGGTGGGGGGGTGTTTTTGTTATTTATAAAAAATTATATATGGGGGATAGTCAAATAGCAAACTTAGGGGGTTTTTAAAAATTTAAATTTATAAATACTAAAAATTAAACTTTCAAAGTATTTTAGTCTTTTCACTATTATCAAACGAAAATCACTAAAAAACATGATGAAAGTACCTATTATTATTTCAAAACTTTTTAGATACTAATTTATCATTTCGAAGACCTTAGGTATGTATAAGTCCTCCCAAAAAAAAAAAAGTTAAAACGTAACATGAAGGGCCCTACGGCCACATGCTCAAAGCGCCAAACAATGGGGACATACGCCCCAGCAAGAGAGCACGCAGGTTCCACAAAAAGACAGAGACACCTGGAATAGAGCATGCAGGCTCGGAAGCAAAGCACACGGGTTCAACAAACGCACAGACGACTGGAAAGAACACGCAGGCTCTACAACAAGAAAAAGCGCAAATAGGACTTGGGTCCACATGCCGACCTATTTTGTTGACCAATATAATAAAAATATACTTTACTATTAAATACTATAAATATTCCGTATCTAAGATCTTATTAATGTATTATGTCTTGATTTTAGGGAGAATAGTTTACCTAAAAATACTAAATTAAGTGAAAATCTATAGAATATATATATATACAACAAAACAATATATTTATATTTGTTTTATTTAATTATTTTTTGTTTATCTAATCTCACAACCAACATAAATCATCTAAAACATTGAGTTGTTATTCATCTTAACATTATACAAGTGAGTAACACTATACTAACAATTTTTTCACACAAACCATGTGACAACTCAGATTGGTTAGCTCGCCGTGAGTCTTATCTCTCAGGTGTAAAAGATCATTGTGAGCTGTCATAGGATGTATAAAAAGTTACATAAAAAAATTGTAAGTGTAATTTTATTGTATATTACCCTCTCATTATAGCTATCCATCTATTATACAATTTCCAATATCTTTGTAAGACTTAAAGGATTGAGAAGTAAAGTGGTCCATGTATTGCATTCACGTTAGGCATAAGACAATC